TTTTTCTCATCTCTCAAAGAGGTGTTTCGACATCCCTACTGTATGTATTAAGTGTTCATCTGATTAAAACACAACTGTTGCAATGAATATAATGAAAAACAACTATATATTAAGGTAACAAAAGATAAAAGAATTGAAGGTAATATATTTTGTCGGAGGGAGATTCATTTCAGCTTCTTTTTTCACCAGAAGCCACCAAGAAATACACAGAGTTAGAGTGAGGCAGGACCTATTCTAGAAGTATATAAAATTATAATGCCACTGAAAACTGCGTTACCTGGTCACTGGAGGGTAACAGATTTCATATTGTCTTGTTTTGAGTCCTTACTGAATTCCATCGATTATTCTGCAATACCACTAAGCTAGTAAATTTAAAATCATGGTTCATCTTGAAGGGTGTTATACGGTTGGAGGCAATCAGTAGAAAGCCCTAGACTTAGGTTTTGTGACTATTGGTACTCGTCAACAAGGCGTACCTGCAACCTGGAAGGGGCTGATATCGCATTCGAACGCAGTCCCAAAGTGATGATGATAATAATAATGTCTGTAAATCAGATAAGGGATTCAGATTTTTTGTTTGAAAGATAGATGTCCATAGGTTTACCGGCCATTTTATGAATAAATCATTTGGTAGTGTGGACATCACTTCTTCTGACAGTTGTTTTGGAACGTTGGTCATATGACGTAAAAAGCAGTACGCCGCGGTGACGACGTTAGTTCCTGGTTTCTGTATTCTCCTGCTATGTCTTTTCAGGTGTTCTGATCAAATGAGCAAGAAAAACAATGTCCCCTGTCATAGTTATAACGGCGATAAGCTTTGTTTCTTCACTGTAGTATTTGACTGCGTATATGTGTGGCAGCTTAAGAAGTGACAGCCGTAGAAAGTCCTAGCCATTCGGAACACTTCTGAAAACTCTGAAAAACTTGACACATTCGTAACTTCATTTCTAGATAATATACTCAAGTCTAACTTCACGAGTAGTGTCTTCAAAAACCTATCTGATTATCGAATTCCGGGTCTTCAGGTCTAGTTGGAAGCAATTAAACCCTTAAAGTGATGGGGTCAGTTTCACTGCATGCCACCTTTTGGATACAGTCAATTTGTGATACAGAATCATCTGTTCTGGGGTCGTACACACTTCTACTTCCATAGAGAATATACTTAGTCCTAAGTTAGTCTCAGGAAAACTTAAAACTTGGTAAGACATATCACACGGCGAAACAGTGCTATTTAATGGATAAGGCAGCTATGGTCCTAAGGTACAGTAATCGAATTACTACAGGTGAGTCATACGTTTAGGTAACATATCACCTACCAAAAGTCAAGGCAACCAAATAATATCATCACCCTTCTCATTGGGGCACACAGGTCTATGCACACGTCTGTATGGTGGCTGAGTTACATGTCTATTCAATGGTTAACGTTCTTGTCACAATTTGTTGTTCCTTTTCATATCTTGGCCATAATTGGACCCAATAAGACTTTTACTCTACCACAATGTCCAAGTTTCACCCTTCCATAATTTGCAACATTTATTTTGGAACTACTTCAACTCTTTCTTGTTTGTTTTTACTGGGGAAAAAAGATACCCACATGGCCAACAGTGAAAATTAGCCTTTAACACTAATTACCCCATTTATTATTGGATGTTAATATGTTGCTCATTAATTATGTATATAAGGACATATCTGTGTGAACCAATCAAATGCTCCTCATATGTGCGTCACTAATTCGCATATGTCCAATCATATGACAGATTTATTGTCATCACAGAAATCGTGAGCTGAACACGTGGAAGTCTTATGCAGTTGTGATAGTGGTACACACGTTTTTGTTCTTGACCTTAATTCAACATTAGTAAATCTCGCTAATTGTGTCATCTAATTTTCTACAAAACTTTACATCTAACTCTTTTTTCTTCGGAGTATGAATTAAATTTTGAGCACTGTAGTAAAAAAAGATATAGTATTATTCTCTGCAACGTGGACTTCATCTTATTCACATATTCAGATCTCTTACACACCACTTATACTGAGATATTATGACATCTAACCTTCAAAAAGACACAACTTTAACGAAGATATTCGTCGGTGGACTTCCATATCATACTACAGATGAAAGTTTACGCTGTTTTTTTGACCAATTCGGACCGATTGACGAAGCTGTTGTCATCACTGACCGTCAAACTGGGAAGAGTCGTGGTTATGGATTTGTAAGTTACTCAATTGCTTGATCAATAATGTGTCTCCTTATTATTGGTAATATTTGTAAAGGCTGTTGTGTTTCATTTCCAGGTGAGGTTTAGATAATGCCTTCAGTGGAAACACTGACAAATATAACCATAATTACATTTTAGGTGTAACTACCCAAAACACAATGCTGAATTAAATAGTTATTCTGAAGCCAGTGAATGGCTGTAAAATCCCTCCATTAATATTTGATACTGCGTTTCACACAGATGGTTATCGATATTTGTTCACTTTTAAATTTATTTCTGCATGCCTGAAAATCGCTAACTGACGGACTCATGTCAGTAATAAAATCACTTTAGAAAAATATGAGAAAGAAGGTGAATCGATATGTGATATTATAAAACCACTGAAATTGTAAGACAAAGAAACAAAAATACTTTTAATGACATACCACAAGGTGGAAAGTAACTTACTACTCTCGAAGAGTGATTTCACCTTTCTTGAAGTAGGCGAAATAGTGTGCTTGATGTTAGCGATATTCCTTTCTTTGACATCGTCTAGTTCAAAACTATTTTTGCTCACAAAATTCACCTACTTAAGCTATTCACAGACTATTTGTCGATCCCTTTACAACCATTTTGGTCGACATTTGCTTCTGTCAACTTTTCATGATAACTTCTTCTTTCTAATTGAGTCTAATAATCTGTGGAGTTGATGCTCATTGATTTGTGCGGCTGACTTTCAATTACACAGTCATAAGTTCAAACACCTATCCACCTATTGAGGTTTGAGCAGTCAGGTGGTATAACTAGCCCTCACGCAATATGTGTTGCTTATTGCCTATTGCACAAATGTGCACAAAGTTACCGAGTGCATTCCGTTTTACTAATCACTACTTATCTAGATCGCTTGATAAGTAGATAGCTTTTTACTCACTCATCACTGGATGTTAACATCCGTACAAGCATACTTTATTCTCTGGTGAAAAGCATTACGATAACTATTGAATATTATTAATAGCTGAGGACTTACTACATATTCATGTGTAGCATTCATACTTGTTGTTAAGCATGTATAAGCAATTCAGGCTCAATACAATTAGTTGTTTTACAGTGTACCGAAACCACATGGAAAACTTTAATCGCAGTATCAATTTATTTAAAACACAGAAACTTGGTCAAATATATTATCAGGAAACGTTGCATACAACTAACCAGCCAACTAGACTTTCAAATATCCGACTACGAATAGCAAGCCGAGTGCACTGCATGTGCTTGTGTGTTAGTGCTAATGATTGTACTCATCTGCTCAAAAAGGAAAAGGTTCGAACAGTGTGATCTAGTCAATGTAAGTTAAGTGGCTACATCTCTGAATCCCACTTTTACAAAGCTTGGCAACCCCTAATTTTTTTAATAAGAGTATCAAGCCTTGCATACTGAGGTAGATAAAGTGAGATTAAACCGGTAAGTAGTTAGCTAATAGGATGTTTCTTATTCACATTCAATGACTGCAAATATTGTCATAGCATTACTCACGTATAGCGAAATTACCCTATAGGCAATGTTGAGGTTAGACAGAGGGTAATAGTCAATTGATGAGATAATGAACCCTTACTGAAAGAGCTGGCTTGGAAGTATATTGAGAATGCCTAACCACAGCTTACGTCAACTTACTATGTCAACCGAAGAAAGATTGGGTTGGCAGAAGACTCAGTGTTGCCAGACTAAGATGTGGCATTAGTGGATGAAGTCTCTGACTGTTGTCCTGAGTTATGTAGGGAGGTGCAGAGTGTCTGACTGTGATCCTCAGAATCATAGTAATCAATACCTAAAAACTCTTGTTTGAACATTTTGTTAACCACAGTCTGTTTATTCTCCCTCCGCTCATATGCATTTGTCAAACTTATGTCACTTTTTTTACTCACTTCTTTGTATGCTGTGCCATGTTCTATTTTGATCTATCTGTTTTTCCGTAACATTCGTAACAGATTAAGTGGGTTTACTTCAGGATAAGTTGAACGCATAATTCACACTGCTGATTCGTTTGCCTTTTAGAATAAAGGCAAAAAATCTCGCTACAAGCATGCTGCACAGGCACCGAAGAAATTTTGAAATGGCGTGGTATTTTTTTCAGTAGGTCAACCGTGTTAATTCTCGTCGTATTATCCTAAGAAACCAGTTTTGATGACAATATTTACACTATCGTAATACAGAATCACTTCAGTTCAAGTGCTCAGATTGAAGTCAGCGACGATAACGCAGTTTAGCATGATAACTCCACTACGACAAAGAAACAGTTTACCCTAAGTTTAATAAAAGCTTCCAGGACAATCTTTATTTAGCCAAATATCTAGTTTAGTGGAGACATGTGAACTGTAAATGAGAACAACTAAGATAGTCGTAGTTTCGTGGACTTATATGATGGTTGAGAGTTAAATGAAAACATTAGTTACGGTAAGATTTAAATCAGTGGACTCTGAGTGGTTTGAATTCTGCTACGACCCAAGTTTTATTCTCAACTTCAAACATCACTCGATATCATACACATATTATTCACCATTCTCTTTGTTCCTCTTTTTTCACCTCCGCATAATCCTTTTAAACGTCACTCTGTCACTGTATGAAAGGTTAACCCACAGGTCATTGAGTTACTGAAACAGCTTAACAGAGTACTGAATTTCATTACTGGAAACCTATCAAGCTTCAGGTTAACGAGATAGCTGAGCAAGCAAATCTTAAGCATTTCCTACTAAGAATCTAAGTCAAAAGACTGATTTGCGTGCATAATTGTGATTCAACAAATGGAAAATTCGACATAATTTTTATGAATACCTAATATGGTGATGATGTACTGATGCTACTGTGCTCGCAAAGTTTTCCCATGTTGCTCTCTGTAGTCTCGAACATCATATCATGGAATATAATCGGCAATGAGATGATTCACTTTTGCGTACTGAAGTCCAACAATAAGGACAACTTACCTTTCCGTTTCATAGAGGTTGAAAAGTCAGTGAGGGTAAAGGTCAAGCAAGACACGTTTGCTCAGTGTTAGCCTCGGAGTCAAATTGCTTGAGAATGTGGCCCGAAATAGGCAGTAAATCTCATCCAAGGCTAAATACTGGCACGAGTTCGATAACCAACAAGTACTATGAGGGAGAGTCGAAAAGTCTTCTGAAGAAAGGGATGGCATGTGTACATAAGACATGAATGAAGTTAATCTTCTCTTTCCCCTTGACTGTTTCCTCAGCCATTTCGAAAACGCCCGATCATTTAGTGTCAAAGTTGTGTCGCATAGTGCTTAGTTTCACAGCTTGGTCCTTCCTAGTGTCGAAATTATTAATGATTAGATTAGTATGGATGATGCACGCTAACACTTTACAACCGTAGGCAATACAGTTTGGTGATGAAAAAAATCGTTTGACATCTGCTGTCTCTAAGATGCACACACAAATGCGAAACGATCCTCTGGTGCGTATGCGGCCTTTGATAAATATAAACTTCATTCAATACAATGAAATTGTTTATATACCGAACTATAAACTAATTATTAGGATTGTAGTATGTTCATTGCAAAAGTCTAATACAGTTCATTGATTGATCACTGGAGCGTAACCAACTTCATGTTGTCTAGTCCTATGTACTGACCGAATTCTACCGATCATTTTGCAGTGTGGCCACCCGACTAGGCCTTGCTGACGAGTGCCACTAGTGCACGAAGCCTAAGTCCAAGGTTTCCTGCCGATTGCCTCCATCCAACTAACATCTAATACAATTCACTTCTTCTTTGCTGAATTGCAAGATACCGAATGTCTTATGGCCTTCAAAATGTGCCCAAGTTGATTACTAGGGCAAATAACTGTAAATACTGAGATTTACTGTTGTTACTTTTTGTCATTTGCTGCTATACGTCATTACTCAAGTGACTGAAATGTTCTTTATAAGAAACTACGCTATATAAATATAAATATTTGGATGGGTAGTATACTGATCAGTAGATTTCTCCAGAGAAAAGAGTAACTAACGATGATTCACAATGTAAATGTAACCCATCCTATTTTGTATTCTGCAACTGAATTCGTCCCCATTCCAATAAATATTGTTAATCTTATTGGGAGCAGAAGCATATACTCACTGACACAACACTCAGGGTATTGATGACTGAATACTTCCCCTTCCATTGTTCTGTATAGAACACGGCTGCACCTTTATGCTACTTGTCAACCATTGTTAGAATTTTTTAAAAACGTTTTTCTAATTGCAATTTTCACATGCCACTGTTCAATTATGCATTTCATTTGATACTAACCATTATTACCTGTGGTATCCACTAAATTAAACTCAACGTGACATCATCTCACGTGAGGACGACCATATGTAAAGAAATACTGCACTATTTCATGGCATACACATGGAAAATTACAGGCACATATACCGACTGACTACGTTATTGGCCAATCAAGTCACAAGGATGAATATATAGTAGGTTGTTTAAAGTATTGATTTTTGTGTGTGCTCTAATGCATCCGGCATCTTTTGATTATTTTATCATAAGTATGATATTGCATCCATAAAGTATTAGTCACAGTCTATGATGAAATCATATGGAAAACAAAGCAGAACAAAATCAACAGATTTTTGCAGAATGAGAAATACTATTTTAAACAGCTGAAATGTCATTCAACAACTGTTGAAGCATGTGCCATATGATAAAGTTTCAAGTCTACAGCTGAATATGCACTTCTTCTAGTAACATGCGTTCAATTTTAAACTTCTGAGTTTGTTTTTTATACATTGATATGTAAACCCCAGAAGTGTCAGTTGTAATGCAAACTATCATCAACTACAATCAATTCAGGTGTTTACGAAATATACAATCAATGGTCTCCTATGGAAGTTAAAATATTCAGATGACATAATGCTTTCTGCTGGATATCACAATTGGTATCAAGATTTGCAAACATGAAGTGTATGTGAAATTTACTATTAACCGATATGAGTAGTTCTCTATCACTCCTACTGATCTGCGTGCCTGCTAGTCAGACCAAGGTGATCTATCGTCAACTATATGGCGTATTCCCTAAAGTACGGTGTCTTATTATAATGACCATGTTATGCACTTGATTTATGACGTAGGTCACCGTACACCTGTCTTCAGGGAATAAAGCTAACTAGCAGTTAGTTGTGTTTTAATATATTTTTTTTTAAAATTTGACCGTAATTCCCCACTGAAGGTTTTTAAGAGCATATATTTGTGATCAACAAATGAACCTACGTTTCTTGATTTTGGCATTGAACTTTGAATAGTTGAATTATGTATTCAGAACCAATTCACCGATTCAATTCAGTCCTAAAAGTCGATTAGTATTGTCAGATGTCACATGTTAACTGTGTCATTTGGTGCGATATAAGAAAAGGTTTAGTTCTATTCATCAAAGTGTTAAACTACATGTAATGATTGTCCAACATCAGTTGTCGTTTTAATTTTTCAGTTTATCTTATAACATGAAGTTATGTGTGGATCCTTCTTTGTATTTCACTCGTCTTTTAATGTTTCCTCCTTGTTGAATTAGGAAGCCGTTGATGTCAAAACTGAAATGTAGCCACGTGTAGATAAAAGTCTGTTTGGTGGATAAAGTTATTTAGGAACGTTACCCTTGAATTTCACTGGCCAGAATGAAGTGAATGCTCAGGTTGCCACAGCTATTGTTAGCACAACAGGATACCAGGTAGCAAGATAAAAGGGAGACGGAAGATAAAGATAGTAGTTAAATATGATAGGAAATCATCATCAGAGAAGGTGGGATAAAATAAGTGACGAAATTTGGGATGACAGTCAGGATAAGGACGATAAGTGGGTGCACTTGTGTCACTGCCTTCAATTCTGAGTCACGTCACTGAGATTCGCCAGTCACTGATTTCACTTGCGGTACGGAATGTAGTCGGAAAGTCTACATTCTTCTACACACCTCAGAGTGAAAGTCAAAGACATCATGAACTGACGTTTTAGTCTGGCTGACTATGGCCTCTTTAAACCTAAACCTACTTCAGATGACACTGTTTTTCAAGGTAAAAGGTAACTGTACATGCGTAACACATATCCTAGCCATCTGAGTCGATGAAAGTTTGCAACCTTATCAGCTGACTTACCTTTATTGCTAAATTCTTTACATCTCATCTATCGGCGCCATGACATATGACCAATTATACTAAGACAGCTGTGATTAAACACCTAAGGTGCTCTCATGTCCTCCACCTTTAATGACTACTCTTTACCGTCACATCAATAAATAGCATATGGATTATTTACCAGCTCAGTTAACTTGGGACTCATTTAAATGACTTTTCAGTTCTTTGTAAGTTCACTATTTAAGACAACTTTTATCATCAACTGTTGAAAATAGAGAATCTGTGTGCTAATACTTCATTTAATTTTAAGGCTTATCACTAGCAAAAACTTTCATGTGAAAAATGGACTAAAAATGATGCAGTTCGGTTGAATACAGATGTAACTGATAATGTTTATCATTAGATCATGTATTTCTTTTAAAATCCACTTCATTGAGTTTCAGTGTCTGATTAATTCTTCGCCAAAATAGGCGCGATTTCGAAGCTGTTACATGAAGACATAGTTAATCACTAAGTTGTATGTATCACTTATTTATATGAGCAAATCTTTAAAGAGATATTTTAAGATTCAAGATTTAAAGATTGACTAATGCTTCCTATATAATTGTAGATTGTATAGACGTTGATCACTAACTACGCACTGGTTTATTTACTATACTACCATATCTGGATGAATGACGCCGAAGTGGACTGTGTTGCATTTCACACACGTACCCATACTATTAGAATCAGATCCTCTACTTTCCTGTATAGTATTTCATTTGCTTGCACCACTGCATTGTTCAACCTGTGTCAGTAGACGTAAAATACTTTTGGCGCACAGTGAATCCCCACCATAACTTAAAATAATCAAGAGTTTCACAGTTAGCTCAAATTTCAAAGTGTAACCAGTGTAAAATTGATGTTCTGTCAACATGTTCATATCAGTGAAAGGAACCACAGTGGAATTTCGCAAGTGAATCACCCGTTGAACTGTCAAACTTTCTAAAAGCAGATTTGACTCAATGCTGCCAGATTTTGTGACGGTTAAGGCACTACAAATGTACGATATAAGTTAACATGGACATACCACTAAGTACATTGATCCGAAATCAGCGTAAAGACTTTCCGGTGCTTAGATATAACGTAGCGATTGGAAGCATACAGATCTGTGTTTATCTCATTCTTTTCTTGTACAGCGTACTTACACGAGTTGCCTTTTGTCATTTTGTTTTTTTAACGGTGTAAACTTGTTTCAGTATGGTGTTGCAGATTTTCTCCCTCGTTGCCTTAGTCCCAATCAAATGTTTAAAGTGAAGAGAATTTGGTCAAAAAGTCAACTATTGATTTTTATGTTAAATGTCACCGGTAATTTAGACATGACAACGGAGGTCAAGGGTAGAATTTTAATTTGTACAAGAACACGGTGGTTTCTTCCCATATATACTTAGCAATCTAGAGACTTCACTTTAAATTTATTGATTTAAATGGGTTTGGTATGTAAGATAACTTTCTCATTTGCACGAATTATTTGGTGATTGACTCGCCATCTCCAAATTATGCCGCTAATTCTTTTGGTTCCTCAGAGTCCTAACTAGTAACTGAGTGCATAGGAGTTCAGGTTGGAAAAGCGTCCTTTCATACGGTGTGTTGAGTAAGCACTTCGAAATGATTTGTCAGTTGGCTTACAATTAAATTTCATATAGTTTTATTAGCTAGTTAAGAATAGGTTTGTTTGTTTATATGTTTACTGAGATAGGCAACGGTAACCTTCAATTAAATTAGTGAAACAAACGTTAGATAGTTGACTCAGTGATATAGTATTATGGAAAAGCAGGATTTAATGAATTCATGAATTTCAGTAGTACTCATCAGCTGATCACATCACATATACCGTTAAACAAAACAAAAGAATACACATACATACATATATAACGTAAACTGAGACATAGATTTAGGTGGAACAACATACAAATGAACAAGTCAGGTGGTAATTTAAATGGTAAAAATGGATGTTCAAAGTTGAATGGCCTGGGGTTAGGTTATATGATTAACTATAAGTTTGGATAATAGTGAATTTCAGATAGGAATATAATGATAATAAAAGTAATTATCATTCCGACTATCTGAGATAGCCGCGGTTTGGCAGACTAGTATTTATAGTGGGTGATGGTCGAAGGTGAAATGAAAATCAGGACCGTGGCCGGATTCGAAACAACGACCACCAGGTTTCCGGCCTGATGCTCTACTAACTGAGCTACGAGGTCCGACTGATGACTAGATTTTCATTTTATTTCAATCACCAAGGGTTTTGGCCGACTGCCACGTGAATTTGTGACGCGTTACCACCGCTTGATCCTATTCACACTGGTTGCCTAGTCACGACTTCTCATCCCAGTCCAAATGTAACTGAATTAGAGAGGAGGAGCATAATACTGATTATCATTTTGACTATCTGAGATAGCCGTAGTTTGACAGACTAGTATTTATACTTGATGATCATTGAATACGATCAGGCTGTAGTAACGCGTCACGAATTCGCACGGTAGTCAGGCAAAACCCATGGTGATTGAAGTAAAATAAAAATTTGGTCAGCAGTCATACCTCGTAGCTCAGTTGGTAGAGCATCAGGCGGGAAACCCGGTGGTCAATGTTTCGGATTCGGCCACAGTCCAGATTTTCACTCCACCTTCAATCACCACCCAGTATAAATAAGAATAATGTTGACAAAGGGGTCGGCAATTAGTCGATTAAGCGTATATTACGTCATTCAAAGCAAGATACTTAATTGTATTTATGCAGACATAATAACAAAACCAGGTGCATATTGAGATGATTATTAATGGTAACAGTGGTAATAGGACTAAGTTTAAATAGGCGAAATAAGTCAAGGAAGGAAAACAAAATATAAGATGCGTAATAATTAAAAGCGAAGAGCAAATAAGAAATATTTAATATGATTAGATGACGCTGTAACTCCTACCGTGGTAGATTCAAGCTGACTACCATTATCTTCTGAATATAGAGGTTTGGATTGGCAACTCGGATAGGGCAGACTTCTGCAATCCCAAGGAGTTTCTTATTTTGCTGTTTATTGATGACCGTAAAGGACTTATAGGTATCAACATCATACCCATAATCCAATAGGTGTCTCGTTATCGAGCTCCTCGGGCTATTCTTCTCGGGATACTTGAGCCATTCGGGTAGACAGACGTTTCTCATCATGACCAATGTATTTGCTTCCGTATGTACATTCGAAATGATGTATGCACTTAGAAGTGTTGAGGATTGGAGTCCTATCTTTCCCTGATAGTTGCAGTACCCTTTTGGTGGTGCTGAGGAGGATGAGTTTAGCAGGGTAATAAGTCCTTCTGATAGACTTCTCTAGTCTTTGTCTAACTACTTCTAGCATGTCGTCACCTTTTAATGGTGAAATGATATAGACTTGTTTCTTCTGCACTGTTAGGAACGTTGTTCTGCGTGCTTGTTGATAAAACTTTCTGGGTACCCATTTTTCGTAGTCTAGTGTGCTATCTCAACAATTTTTCCTGGCTCATTTTAACAGCGTTCTGATAACATTCACTTTGTATTGGATTGGAACAAAGCTTCTAAAATGAAGGTACTGTCCTGCCCATGAATATTTTCTATAGATGGACCTTTCAATAGATTCGTCGGTTCTTTTCACTAATGAGACATCTAAGAAACTTATCATATTATTTTTCTCGTACTCAGTCGTAAAGGTAAGGTTAAGGTGACATGAATTGAAGTTCTTTGGTAGTGCTTCTGCCTCCATGTAAGGCTGGTACAGTTCCGTCTGATCTATGAAGCACTTCAAGCTACTATTTTCCACGCTTGATAGGAATAAATCAGCGAAAATGAGACCCAGAGGGCTTCCCATTGCGAACCCATAAGTTTGACGGAATAACTGTACGTTGAACTGGAACTGGATGTTCTTGGTACGTAGATTTAGATTTCTC